AATTAATAGCATGTGTAGACACAGCCTTCTAGTAGCAAAGTGTGTTTGGTACGAGCTATTCACAGTCTTCTATGTTCCACCTTTGTTAAAGTCAGTCTAGGTCTTTAAGTCAAATAGCCCTGCACATACCATTTATTTTGAATATGTAGCACCATTAAAGCACGTACCAGAAAAACAAAAACAGTTTGCAGGGCACAAGTATTTCTAAAAATAAAAATCTTGCTGATCTCTGTGGTTAATTCTATATAATATAATCACCTCCTTAAGAAAGGATGACTGAAATAAATCCCAGAGAAGGAAAAAAAGGTAAAGATTAAAATCCTGAATATGGCCTCACTTATAAGCATACAATCCTTTAAAGTCAAGGAGTCAGCTTCATAGCTGGTGGGTGTAATTCCACAAGTGTACTTGGTTCACTGGGACTATCCTGGTATATAGGAGGGCAACCTGACCTCTAAACAAGTTATATCTATGCTGTTGCTTGAAAAGAGATGGGAACTCTGAGGCAGCCAGGTTCTTGGTATAGCTACAACCCTGCTGGCTCAAGGAGTTTTTCTGCTACCAGAGCTATCCCAATACCTCTGCGTTTGCTGGCACAGCTACGTCAGCTATGGATGTGATCTTTTCATAGCAAAGAAACCGTGTTGCGTAGACAAAGCCTCAGTCTGTTAGCATTTACAGTTACCCTTTAGTCTTCATTGTTACATGAAAAAGAAAATCAATAAGCACTGAATTTAACACACACAAATGCACACAATACTACATTTAAGTCTTAAAAACAAGTTATGAAAGAACATGGTTTGTACTTCACAATACAATTATTTTTAACAATAAGAAAAACTACACAGAAAAGTGACTCATTTTAGTAAAGATACCACACACTAAGAACAGCCTAATTTAGAACTGCATAACTACTCCCCAGTATTCAACCCCCTTGCACTGTGGGTGTGAATGTAAGTTAAAAGGAGGTCCTTATAATTGATTAAATCTATTATTAAGGCAGTAAAATTACTCTTTTGATGTTGAAAAGAGGACCATAAAGAGTCAGAGTTTGCTTAAAAGTTCATTTATTTATGTTGCAAGCTGAAGAATCATAATCAACATAGAAATGCACTGTTATGCCTCCTTGGGAGCTATACATAATTGGTGCACTTATCAAATAAAAATATAGAAGCAATTTAAATGATACAGAAATGGCACAGAAATAGATCATAGCTCTTCACACACGCTCACTCTGGCATGCACACACATCACACTAAAAGTTTCCAGTTTCCATCTGTAAAGTATAAAAAGGATAGTACAGCTATCTAGCTCACTTAACCATGTGCAGCCAGATAGCCTCAAAAAGCCCTCATATAAAATGATACAACCTACTACACTTGATCTTAGCCAAAAGGTTGAATGCTTTCCTTGCTGAACAATGTGCATTTGTATTCTGACACTTCCTTATGGCTTAAATAGGACTAAATGGAAGTGCTCAGCAGCAGTCAGTATTAGACCCTTGTCTAACTTTAGCGAGTTCAAGTATAGCAGAACCAGTTTAAAACATGGATATTTGGCCCTGACCCTTCAAAGACTCATATACACACTTAATGTTACACACTGGGGTGAACCTACTGATTGTAATGGTCCATTCACGTATGTAAGGTTAAGCACACGAGTCACTGTGCAGGATCTGGGTCAGTATTTAAACAACAAGGGCACAGTTCTTTAAAAGTGGTCCACACTGCCTGGTTCTGACTCCAAAGGGTGAATTTGTATAACTAACATGGTTAATGTGCTAAAAGATTAATTTATATTCATTTACAAAAAAAAAATTCCATTTACTCTTACAGACATACCTTATTTATGCACATACCATACTCACCATTTACCCAAAAATTAGCAATCAAAATGAGGAAGCTAATTCTGAACCGTTTAAAGGGGAAAAAAGGTCTTAATTTTGTCTTCCAAAAACAAGGAGTGTGTCTTATTTTGGGGAGGGGGGGGGGCAGGGAGGGGAGGGCTTGTGGCGTGCCAATAAATATGAGAACACATTGTTCTTTTTCATGTTATTTTTCAGTCTGGTATATGAACAATAGTGTTCAGGTTCCATTACTTTTGTAATTACCAATGCAGTAATGTAATACATAAGAAGAGGGGAAAAAAGATATAAATCCTATATAAGTATTTACATATTTCAATGATTAAAATAAATGAAAGTTAATTTACAGGTAATAAGAAATGATTATTAAATATAGATTGTTTCTAAACAAGCGTAATATTATAACCAACTACTGTTAAACAAGACATAATGTATTTTTGGATGCAGTAATAACACATACATTAATAATTCTTATTGGACAATGAAATAGTTTAGATAATTGTTTTTAAAAAGGATTTGGAGTTTTCAAATTACAGCTCAGTTAAAACTTTTTTCCAGGAAAAAAAAACACAATACAACACTCCCCACACTTTTTTCCCTGTATTTTACATCACACACAGATATTTTCATGTTAAAAAAAACATACTTCATATAGGTTTCTTAGTTGTCAATAATGTAATATTGTTCATTATAAAAAAATATAGCACCTACTGTAAACATATCAAACACAGTTTAAATCCCCCATGATTTCCTAAGTAATAATGCCTTTATTTTATGAAGACCTCCAGTCTTTTGTTTAATTCCTTCATTATAATCTACTCTCAGTTTCAGGTTCTATTAAATCTTAATGCATAGAATCATAACCTACTAAATTCTGAGAGTTAGGAATTATAAATATTATATGCCAAATGACTTGACCTTCTAAAATGCAGTTATAAGTTCCTGGGTAAGGAGGGTTTTGCTGTGCAAACTTTTGTGGCTTGTAGGTACTAAAGAGATGAGCAATTTTTAAAAATGCCCAGAACACCTAATCTTAATTTAACCTGACCAATCAACTCTCATTCTTATCCTGATTTAAGAAATAAAAATTATCTAATAGTTAAGCTCTTAATTTAGCCAACACCAAATGTTTAAGTCTTAATCAGACCCCAAGAAATCATGAGATAATTTTGAAGTCATGAAACTTTAAAAATACATTGCAGATTCCTTTTGTTTGCCTTCTCTCTGAAAACTTAGAGTGCATCTAAATCAACTTTGCAAGTTTTTCTCCATAACCGTAACAGCTTGAACTTTAAAGGGCAACTGAAATTCTAACAAAAAAAAGAGAAACACCAAATAGTGCAAGACTCGGTAAAAGTGAGAGATGGTAACACTGTCCCACTTCGGTTTAAATGCTTTTCTGGTCCCTGCGTAAGAGGTATTTCTGGGCTTCGGATCAGGATAACTGCAAGAAAACCTCAGCCCTTTTCTGGTCAATTCTGAACTCTTACAGAGCAAAGAGTATATGTTAACATGAGAAACAAGTGCAAACTGTTGTAGGTGTATTAGGCCCTTAGCAAACAAGAGTGCAAAACAGCAACTATCTGTTGAAATTCTTAGACCTAGCAAAGACCTGTGATGAAACCACTGTCTTCAAGAGGCCCAAGACTTTCTACTTGTTGTTCTGGGCTTCTACAACCAATCTTACTCCACTTGGATGCTTTCCTAGTGACACTGTCCAATGTGCGATATGTCACCAGTGCATTCATACTCCATATATTCAAAAAATGTTCCTGGGTAGGCACTTACTGTTATGTACAACCGATCTGTTTGGCAAACTTAACTGCCAATAAGCATCATGTTTTCCTTTTCCTCACTAGCCAGGTGTTGTCTCAACAGTCTTATCACGTGGTGGGAGGCAGCAAGCCTGATGTTGCGAGAGGAGAGGGGTCACCTCTGCTGCCAACTAAAAGGATTTTCTGTTGGCATGTCTTTCCTTATGAAACCATGCATCATCATGAGTGATAAAAGTGGTCGTGCCAATGCTGCAGTCTGTTTGAACTTCTGTACTCTAAGAAACAGCTCGTGCCCATACCACTTATCATCCATGAATGATAATTATAAAAGTCTAGAAAACCACTGGCATGACATATATTTTATATGCAATCTTTAGTGATTTTCTCTTTCATTTCAGAAAACCTCTCCTGGACTCTTCACATACTCGATACAAAGCAAATAGCTTCAGGTGACCATAGAACATTTTTGCTGCACGTGACTCCCAAGGCTTTCACTTAGGAAATGTCTTCCAAGCTGGTTGTTGCACTATGTTCCCTTAAAGGTTTATTAGTTCCTTGTTCCCAAAACATCTCCCGAGCACCTTTTGCCTACTGCAAGTTTCAATAAGGTCCTGTATGAGCAATACTGTCTGCAACCTCCAGTCTGTAACTAATTACAACATGAATATGCTTTTGCCATCTAATCTAAATTAAATATTTTAAATAAAATAAACAAAGCCATCTTGTATCCCATTTTACTTTAAGGCTATTAGTCAGAATCCTGGCACAGACACTGAACTTCCAGGAATGAAAGTGCCAAGCAAAAGATATATCTTTATGTCCCAGAAGAGGAGGATTTTTGGCATAACAAAAAGGCAGTCAGAGGCAGCAGTCTCAGTAAGGTAGACTGGAGAGGGAGCTCTCAATGGAACAGAATTATTCCTGTGCAGTAAATAGCAATAGAAAGGGGTTTGAAGAAAGCAGATCAATTGTACCTGTTTTCGTATAGTTCATTCAGTGTTCTTTGACTGCTTTTAAAGTGATTAATAGGCAGGAGAGGTCATGCATTTCTTTCTTAAGACTGATGAAAAAAGGCCCAAACCCACACAAATGGGAATTCAAAGCAGACAGTTGAATTCCAGTCACTTTCATCAAGTAACTTAACACCAATTCCAGGCACTGTATCTACCTCTAAATTCCTGTTCACTGCACGTTTTCTTACTTGCTCTAACAGCTGTCACCTTTCTTCCCATGTGAAAGGCCCTTACAGACAAGACAGGGAAACAGTGGCACTGCCTAGATGGAAAATGCTGTAAATGCAGAGAGTAAACACCTGGAGACACGTCTTTACTCCAGTCTCTTTCAGCTCAGGTGCCTCCTGCAGCAAAAGTAGGTGAACACCTTCAAACAGAAATACAGTTTTTAAGTAGATGTTTTCCTGTTACTGCAGTCACTTTTAAGTAAGCCTGTCATGATTGCCTGAGAGCTTGTCGCTGAACATGTTCATGACACCAGAGAATGTGTGTTCCTCTCTCTTTTAAGTTTTATATCTCCTGAGTGGCAAATACCTTGAAGTGACACCATCAAAAGAAATCTAGCCCAATATTACAATGTTGAGGGGAGAAAAGTGATACAATCTGAAATGAATAAAGATGCTCCCAGACTGAAAGAGATCTGCAGTGAAAATGGCTGTGTTTAAACAAATAAGCATTCCTCCAAAGTGTTTAAACCACGGCAAACCTAAAAAAGTGAAACACACAACAGAAGTGAAAGTCACCTAGTTCAAGGTGAGAGAAATGCAGGAAGTGAAAAAAGAAACTAGATAGTGACCATTTAAAAAGACTTGTTAAAACTCTTTCTGTAGTAATTATCTGTGCGGGTATTAGCCAAACAGGGCGAAACAAGTGTTTGTTTATAACGTGGATTTTAAACTGATAGCGTTGCTTTAATTGATCTGCCTCAAGTAATTTGGATACAAAGATGAAAACCACCACATTAAACGTAGTTATCTCTGTTCAGAGCCTGTGGTTGGCCCTCACGTGGACAACAACACGATTTTCATAAACTTTCCTCATTGTTTTCTCAATCTGCTTCAAAAAAACCTGTGGTATTCGCCCACATAAAGTGTGTACAGTATCCAGAAACTTAGACTGAAGAGGGTAGAACAAGGATTGGAAGAGATTGTCTTCAAAGGGAAACTAAAGAGGAGAAAAAAAAAAACCCTGATTATTTTCCACAGCTTTAATGACATTTGAGAAGTGTAAACAGAATCAGGCTTTATAAGGCATGGCAAACTGGGTACCCTGGCTCCTGCAGACATCACCTGCCCTCAAGTCCCACTGACTGGAGACATTTGGAAACCATTTTTCAAATCCATTTAAAACTACTGCTTTTCAGAAAGTTTTACCCAGACATGTCTGGCTTGGCTCACTTCACAGAACTGCATTTCAGTGCCATTATTTAAAAGTTGGCTAATGAGGGGACATGGTGGAGGTTATAACATAATTGCTCATAACAGGAGATCCACTTTCATGGAGAGGTGCGAGGCACATGTGGCAATCTTTGGGACTACAGAGCACTATGTCTTATGCAGACAGTGCCTCTCCTCGTGGGACTGCAATGGAAGAGGAGCTGTTGCGATGATTCCCTACTTCAGTCAACAGCTGGGACTTTCAACCCCAGACACACAGACCTGTAGTATTTGAGCTATGAGTAACTGCATAATCTGGTAGCAACAGTAGGCTGTTATCCTAGAGAAGGACTTGACAAAAGCAAACAAAATGTAACAATGAAAAGGGAATTCAAACATGATCTTCCTCTTGCAAGCTAACAAGCACTTTCCACTGCCTTTTGAAAATGGATTGAAGCTCCCCTCACATACACACACATGCACACTCTCTCTCTCTCTGTCTATCACTGTCTCTTTTAAATGGAACAACAGCCCAATGCACTCTGTTTATTCTGTGAACGTTGTATCTACATAAAGCACTGATATTCTCAGTCTGCTATCTTGGAAGAGGCAATCTGTCAAGTGCTCTGCATAAGGCTCCCGCACTGCTTTGTACTTTGAAATAAAAAAGAATCATCTGTGTCAAAAGCAGAATACTCACATCACGTATCACTTCATATATTGCCTTGAATGTAGGCTGCTTGTCATCATGGTAGACGCCTCTATTTCCATGCAGAATAGAGATGCCGTCTGTTTCGGCTCCTTTACAGTTACTCCCATACATACAGTGATCTGGCCGGTAGTTCCACTGACAAGGAAACACGTAGAGATACTCTGGAAATACCAAGTCGAGAGAGACAAAGAATGATATATTGAGCAAAATAAGTGCTGCAAGTTAATCATGGTTCTGTGGAAATGACAAGGATGTCAATCAGGATGATTTTCAATAGCGGAGGATAACTGCCTAGATTTCCATCTGTTTTGCTCAAGAGATGACCAAGAGTGATCATCCACTACAATGGATTCCCAGAACAAACACTGCATCGTATTTATTCATGAATACTGCTCTTGGGATCTGCACGGTCACTAGCAAACAAAGCCAAACTACACATGCTATCATACATTCACCTTCCTTCGTCTACTTCAAAAGTGACCCAGTTACTCACAGTATCGTACAACCTGGCTCCTCTCCCTAATACTCTTTTCTTGACTCTGCACATCGTCATCTTCTATAACAAGACTATGACAAAACACAACAACTTCTGTGGGTCACCTTCCTGCCATGGCAGCAGGGGTGTGCCACACTGGTTGTTACTCAATGCTGACAGACTCTCAGCACCACCACAAGGACTGGAGACTGAACAGTTCACTTGGCTTTTCCTTGAGCTTTACTAGCCCTGTGTGAATTTACATGGGGGTAGAAGAAAAAGCCTAAGGAAAACTCCTCCCATTTACTCACCAGGGTTTCTCATGAACAATTTCCATTTGGTCTGATGCACCTCATGCTTAGCTGTGGTCTGAAGGCTCAGGGCTAGAGTCCCTGGAGGTGCACTGGTCCATCCATCCCAAAACCTAGTGACGTCAGTGGGAGCCTTTCCAATGACTCCAGCACTCTAGATTGGGCTCTTTATCAGCACGATGGCAGTGCTCCATGCTTGCACAAACACAACTTCATGCTGAACACAGGTGTTGCTTATCAGCTTTTACGTGCGTCACCCACCAGTTTTTCTCTCCCTATCTCCCACATCTGTGATGCCAGTACTTGATTTTTGCTTTCAGAACTAGACCCTGATCTCAGTTAATATTTATTTCTTGAAGTCTGTTAATATTAGAGCAGCTTTGAGGGGGGGTGGAAGGTGTATCTTTTCAGGAATTCTCATTAAATTCCTTTTATTGCTTTACTTTCCCGGGTTATTTCAGTGGAAACAGGTTGTTTTTTTTCAGGTTAAGTAAATTTGTGTATTTTCAGCTAATGCACAGATAACTCAAAGGGAAGATGTACAATAGGTTTGTACAGTGACCTAATTTTCCATCTCTAATCCTGAGTCTGAATGAATAGAGCTATAAAAATGGCATTGGAAGAAAAATGCATTATTTGTTCTGAAAGGGTGAAAATACTGTATACATTAGATAGTTTCTAGAGTGCAAATCCAGCACATTATTCTTGAGACAGGAATGTGTGGGTTATATCCGTTATTGGACCAACTGCATAGCTGGGAGAAATACATACAAGCTTTTGGGTACTAGGAACAGAGAAAGAGTATGACCATGTCTCTCTAAACAATTTCCTGTAATTTTGGGCTTTTCCACCAGTTATTTTTGTGTTCAAGTCTCAGCAAGCAAGAGTGTATATTTTCAAGTAACTGGTAACGTCAACCTTGTCAGTTTTAAACAGGATAGATTCTGTGTACATACATAGATGAAGCTAATTAATATTATGAAGCTCAGCAGCTTTGAAAATCAGGCCTCTAGAAGCTGAGCATCGAGTTGGGCTCATACCCTTTCAAAAAAATTACTAGTCACTTTTGTTCCTTATGGTGTGATCCAGGCACACACGGTGAAGTTGAGAATCACTGCCTTATAGCATCTGTGGGACTATTCCAGAATCCATGTTTCCATCCGTTTTCAATTTTTTCCACTTGAAGGCTATGTGGTACCCTGGAAGCTTGTCTATATCCCTCCCAACTGTACAACCGGACCAATAAAAGGTAGCTCCCATAAACATCCTTCCTGGACCATCACAGCTACAACATCACCCCAACTCTACCATGTAATTCTTTGTCATTTTGGGTGCATGGACACATATCTGCAGGTAATACTGTCCCTCTGCTCTCTGTTTTGAATTCTTTTAGGCTTGTGGGGTACTGCATCTGTCCTCTGATGATAAAAAGACTGCCATGTTACAGTCCTGGAGAAGGCAGGGCAAAAAGAGAGCACAAGATCCCGGATAGCTAGAAGTGCAAATGCATTTGTCGTGGAGTTCATCGAGGCTTAGTCACTCAGCCGAAGGGCCAGAGCTGCTTTTCTTTGAAAATCAAGGCTTGCATTGCACAGTGGGGAGGAGGGAGGGAACTATTTTTCAAGACTAACAACAAATGTTTTTAATCCTCTTTTCAGTGCGAAGTCAGTTTTCTGTCTATTGACTTCAACTCTGTTGCTTCTTTTATAAATAAAGGGATTTGGCCAAATTTTAGAAGATTGGATTTGGACAAAATTTGCCAATTTCAAATTCAGATAAACATCCATGATCATGGAAACAAAAGTGTTACTCAGCTGGGCCCTGATCCAGCAGAGCATTTAAACGCATGCACGACTAACTCTGGCCCATGATTTCACCATCATTTCATATTGTGCCCAGTAATCTTTTCCAGCCTTTGACATCTACACTGGCACTAAAATTTTAGGCCTCGGTCCTGTCAACATAACACGAGTAATCCTACTGGGAGTAAATCCCATGTGCATACGGGTTAGCAGGACAGGAGAGTTGGGTTCTGCATTTCAGGTCAGAATGCCTATTTGTTCATCGTCATCATGTTACTGGATTTTACCTTTACAAACAAGTGCAAGTCCAACAGGAGTCATTACATACCTGGGTTAAAGTAAAAAATAATATTTAGTAGGTCCTGGTCTCCCCATGTAATGTAATTTTTGTATTTTTGGTATAAAGGGTACAACATTTCCTCCCATGTCAAGCCAGTTGATATCATGCTGTTCTACAAGGCAGAAGGAAATCAGAGCAAGCAGTTAATTCTTTTCCAAACAGCAGTGCAATATTGCCACGGTTCACTTGGGACCTACATGTTCTGAGCACTCTTCTAACCTCATCTCAGGCTATAGTAGTGACAAGGGGACATCTGGGTTTAGGCAGAAACTAAGCACATTTTGAAGGGCTACATTAACTAACTTCCCTTTCACAGCAAGAGAGGGACTGTGACTTTCAGGATTGAGTCTAAAGGGTCCATGGAGGTGTGCATAAAGATTTCAAGGACTGCTCCCGAGGCTACTTTGTATTTATTCATATTTCCTAAACACTTTCTCAGAAGAGGTGCCATGTGAAGAAGTGGCTATCCGTTTAAGTATAGATTCCACAGACTAGCCCTGAGACACGGAAAGACAGCAACGTAAAAACCACTGGCATGATTCACTTACTACAATGACTTCCACGGTGTCAGTCAAAATATGCTGTGACCTTGTATGTCTATCAGGGAAAATCTTTTGCAAAGCACTTTCCATGCAGAACTGATTATCTTTGGCTTCCTTTTTTATGCGTCTCTCAGATGAGACAGTTCAATTAAGTCACCTTTACTTTTGGTTTTAAGCCAGAGTTGAGTGCTCCAGCCTTTTGGGGATCACTCGCTTATGTAAGAAATTGCCCCCATTAGAATTTTTTTTTTTTTTTTAAATATTGGGAAATACTTTGATTAGTTTTTCCAAAACCTTGGGTTTTGATAAATTTGTTTAGCCTCCTTCTTATATCCTCTATGGCGCAAGTTGTTTTCTAGTAAATCACAGGCTATTAAAAAATAAGTACAAGCATGTCCTGTAGCATTTTGACCATTTCTCACCTTGAACTGCGTGTTTCTTATCCGAGTTAAATTCATCAACATGACTCCAGAATTGACACCAGTTGTTCCGTAGTAAGGGTGACGAGCAAATCGACTGTACCAGCCTATCTTTGGTATTTCGTGTTCTGGGGCCATGGCAGCCAGCTGTGTGGAGTTAAACTCTTTGAGAAAGCGCCAGATGTCATCGATAGGCCTCAAGAAGAGAACATCAGTGTCCACGTAGAGAAGAGAATCCACATCCTTTAAAATGACCTGTGGAGTTCGCAGGGTGGGAAGAGGTGGAAGGAAACCAGACAGACAACAAAAGGAAATTGATTACTGCACAAGAAGTGCTTTGGTTTTAAATGAAACCTTCATGCAACAGACAAAAGTTATTTACTGATACGAGACAAATGCTGTAACTTATGGGACTCATCGGCAGCAGGTGGATAATTTTTTTTAAACAACTGGCATGGTAAAATAGGTAGAGTATAGCACAAAAGAAAATCAAAGAGTCCACTCTTCACATAAAACAATAATTCACTTAGCTGTCATAACAACCTGAAATCTAGCCCACAAGACCTATTTAATATTGATTTTAGTAATAAAACCCACACCATCTATACTAGTTCTTTTAAAGACCAATAACTTGTGAGATTACAGTAAAATTGCACATTGGTAGGAGATGGGGATGTAATTCTGGCTTATGATATGACTGCAAAATTACTAATAAAGAAAAAGAAAATTTTGCAAATATATCAGCAGAATGTTCCAGGATTTTGGCATAAAGCTCTTTCATGGTCTAGCCGTGCGGTTGAATGAAGGTCCTGATCCTATAATCAAGACTGGCAAGTATATGCCCCAGTGAAACGTCTGTAGTTCTAATGTAGAAAAGAAAATTTAAGACGGTATATAAGAGCTTCTCACCTCCATTTTATCTTACATTTCCCTAATCTCCGCTGTTGGCTATTTTTCCTGCTACAGTCTCCCACTCACCACGTTTAAATTGCACTCAGTAGGTAACATTAAAATAAACCATTTCCATATGATTTTTCTAATTTAAAACAGTAGTTAAACAGTAGGCCACCAGGAATGAAACTTTAATTCTTTTTCCTTTTTTGGGAATGTGAAAACTTCCTTCCAGGCAAACAAATCTCACAAGGATTGAGCAGCACCGATTCTGAGCTCTGCTACAGCACTAAATCAGGAGAACCACGCCAAAATCAGTCTCCTTATCCTGGTGTAAAAGGAGGAGATTTAAGTCCCACAGGCCTAGTGTATTCTTGCTTGCATTATGCCCCCTTGTGGAAACCTGGGAACTTACACATTTACTCATAATTTTAGCAGGGGTGTGAAGAGCACTACAAGGGTGTGAAAATTCCTGACTTTGGCACCGAAGGGATATTTAGTTATTAGGTAAGCTTGAAAATCAGTTTTATTATAGTTCTCCCACACTTCCCTGATTACCACTTGCTAAAATTGCCCAACACATTCTCAAAGGGGCTGACTTTCTAGCTTTGCTTTTAGCCAGGGGCGGAAGTAAGGCCGGGAAAAAAAACAAGAGTCAGCTGTCCAGTTCTAAAGACAAAGTTGTCAAACTTTCCTCCTTATTTAGATAACTTGAAAATCAACACAGCTGTTAAATGGGCCACATGAACAAGAACCAAATACCTGAGTGCGGATTTGAATGGGATTTTCACCTGACTAAATGCGTACAGATTTTGGCCAGCCATAGTAAAGCTTAATGCTGCACTTCTGACATCTCAACTGCATGTTCTCCCTGCCCAGCGTGACTAGCCCAGAGGTTGTCTGTGAATCTTAAACGGAGAGCAAGGTCTATAGTAACGGGCGTTATGCCAACAATCATTACAGAACCAGTGGGTTACAGACTACCGTCAGCTCTACCATAGTGCAGATTCTTTCACACACATATTTTACTGGCCCAGAATATTTTCTTATTGATGTGGTACCTGTTGTTATGAAAGAACAAGCCCTGCAACAACAAGGTATCAACCAATTATATTATATTTTTTGTGCAATACTGGATTGCAAAATTAGAGGCTGGAGGCTCGGAGTCAGAACTCGTGGTGCCTGATGATAACAAGAACTGGGTCCTTCGCCTCTGTTGCTAGCTTTGGGAGACACCAATACAAGACATGCTAAAACACCTTTTCTGTCAGCTACCTTAGATGTTCTGGATATCACAGGTGCTGCTGCTGTTATCTGTTATTCAGTGTTGTTAGCTGTGGTACCCAGGAGCCCTATGCATAGACCCCACAGAGCTAGAAAAGAGAGAGAGGGTCCGTGCCCCAAAGACAAGAGGTAATCTACGACTCAGAGATATCAAAGAGATATCTCTGAATAAAGACGAAAGGAGAGCACAGACACAATGAGACAATCGTGGTCAGCATGGCAGGCAGAGGCCTTAGCACATCAACAGTCGAATTACTGTCAAGTTTTTCTGTGAGCAGAGCTATAAGCAAGGTTTGGAAAGAACAAAAAAGGTGAATCCATTCCTTTCACCCCTGATGGGTAACATGGGACATTGCTCTACACCTGACATGTTCCAGACAAGGAGCTACCCTTGCAGCAAACTTAACTTTAAGGACCTGCTCATATCCACTGAAATCAATGGGACTTATACACTTCCTTTAGTGGGCTTAAACCCATCCCTAAGCTGCAATACCTGCCTCAGAGCTTTGCTGAATCAGGGCATCCAATGGCCACTGGCACCACTCTTTGGCCCTTGCATTCCCCTGCTCCAGTGTACTACACTCCTCAGCTCATTTTGTCAACTGATTCATTCCCATCTCATCAGGTGCATGGCCCTGCAGCAGACACAGAGCAGGCTGGCAATAAAGCAATGCTATTTTAAGCCCTTCACATTTTCCTCTTTGACATCCAAAGTGTTAAAAGTTTTGCTCTATACTATCCTGGGCAGTATGAAGGGATCATATTCCTTCCTGAACGTGCACTTCACATGGGCTTGGGCAAAGCCCTTTATCTTTTTAGAAGAATCTGCCCGGGAGGGTTCCTCCTGTAACTGTACATGTACAAAGGATTAATGCCAGGGATAGAGTTTGGCCTTCGCATATCTAGTGCTCCCAATGTCCTCACAGTTTTGTGTAGTTCCACCAAGTCAAATGCAGTTTTTACATTAAACTAATCTAATGCGAGTAGGATTTAAAAGCACTTAAAGAGAGGCAAGCACCCAATTCACACTGGCAGGCAAAGGGTAGTGGGGCCCCCACTTTCAGATGCTTCTCTTAAAAAATCCTAACTTAAAGGGCTCCTTTTAGTAATGGAGGTTCCCATACAATCAGGATATTCTTCCCATTTGTGTGCTGTCTGAACATGAAAAAGTAGGAACACAGGACTCCTTTTGTCCCTTCCTCTCCTTGAGAGATGCTTACCATTTAGAAGAGGATAATCTTGATGTTTTGCACAGCTGTATGGAGTTTTGCTAATAAATCTTCGGGGAGTTCCAGATAGAACGTGCTATATTTAGCCTGACACTTCAGTTAAATACTCAATTATCTGTAATTTGATTCCACAACTTCTTGTCTCTGTGGATTCTCCCTGTGTTAGCTAGGTTGGCAAGGAATAAGGTATTACTAATAGCACGCTGGTAAGTCAGCATATCCCGGTGTAATAAAAGGAGGTGGGCCAAACTCACGAGTGAGTAAATAAATGTACGCCTTGCCCAGAACTGGAGAACGAACTACAACCAGGATCACACATCTGTCACATTAGCATCTCCAGTCGTGTTAATTTACTTGACTTAATTCACAATTCACAAGCCATTCGCTCAAGTTACAACAGAGCGGGGAAAAAAAACTTAAATTATCCACACACCCAAGACATGCAGTTTTTTCACCTCGATGACTTGACATCACTCTCCTCCACTTCACTAGTGTGATCACAGGTTCATTAATGCCTCTTTTCTCCCACGGGATAGTATTTTTACTACCCCTAGTACCTAGGAGCCCCAGGCACAAACCAAGACAGAGCAGGGGAGAACAAGTTGCACATCTCCAGAACGTGGACAGTGTCTTGGAGATTGCTCCCCAGGAAGTGACAAATGCAGCCCAGAAGACCTGGTAGATAGCTAGATGGTACTGGCTAAAAATATTACTATTCCTAAAACACAGGGCTGCTCACAGCAGCCTGCAGCAGTGTCACTCTGCTGCCAACACAGCCTGAATATGCATAAGAAGCGGCTCTTAGTATAATTTTGTTTTTGAAGCCCATTCTTTGAATTCATTTTAAGATATCCTTTGCCCTGCCGCTGCAGCTCACCTGGTTTGCTTTTACAGAGATGGACTGCAGCAAAAGCATCACTGTAGATGTGATCTGAGATTAACCTGAGGTTCAATCCATCTTCACTGTGGCAGGATGATAATCATATGTAACATCCCTCCAGTAAAAAAGGAAACTTATGAGCTATAGGTATGTTCTCCTTAATGTTTTAATAATATTTTTGTCTCTAGTAGCATCT